GCCCCCCCGGGGCGTGGGGGGGGGGGGGGGGGGGGGGGTTAGTCACCGCGCATGCGTGCGTCCATGCGATGCCCTCGACTTGGCTCTTTCTAGAAAGTGTATAATTCATGGCATGGCGCGCACCGTGTCTCCAGGATGGAGCTCGACACCTCGGTAAAAGCCGAGGGGCTACGCTTAGGCATCGCTCTTCCCCTTCCCCCTCCCCAACGCCAGTCACTGCCCGCCTTTATTTCCTTCTCTCCCGCTCGACGTCCCGCTCGATCTATTCTTATGTGCAAATTATGGGAATTGAATGTCTGTGTGAAATTATGGTGTCAGCGCGATCCATACGGACTCCGAAATATTTTCTCTCGCCTCGTTATTGAGTAATATTTCTTTCGCGGTGACTCGTCCGCGCGAGTAAGCGAGAACAGCCTGAGCAAGAGAACGAAAAGGTAATTTAAATTCTCCACCTTTCTACGATAGCGCTTCCTCTCCTTCTCCTTCCTCAAACCTCCCTCGAGCCATCGCTTTTTCCCTCTCCCTTCCACTCTCCCTCTCCCACTTTCTACCCTCCTTCGCTCCATCCCTCCTTCCCACCAGTCCCACCACTGCTCTCTACCGATTCACTGACAACGAGTAGTCGTCAAGTGGAGTTTGATGAAATTTGAATTCCAAGTTCGTTTGGTGGCAATGACAACATTTCCTCGCTATGAATAAAATCATAAAGCCGCATTTTATATTCTTCATAATTTTAGGTTTACTTAATAGTTTTCTTAACTATCGAGTATAATATTCTTACGATTTATAAATATAAAAGAAAGGAATGGCAAACACGACATTCTTCACTCGCCGTGTATTATTAAATGTTACGCTGAAAAAAATTAATATTCTCTTTCGTGTTTAATAAAGCTCGATTCGCTTATACTCGCAGCGTATGTTTACAGATAATTTTATCCCTAACGAGTGAGAATGAATGTTTATATTTTTCATTTGAACATTAGCAACGAACATTTAATGCGCCAAACTTTCATATGCACAATTTTGCGGTTGACTAATTATTTTCCTACAATTATTTTACGAATAATAAACTACATTCACTCGTCTATAATCAGTAGATGATCAGTATTTTAAAAAATATTACAGTCACATATTATATTCCGGTTGAAGAACAATCATCATGTGTATTTGTGTTGTTTATATGCATCGTTCGTAAAGCAGCCATTTCATTCCATTCTTCTCTATATTTGCTCGAAAGAAAGAAAAATGGCTAGAACATTGGCCGCGCACAACAATATAACAACATAACCATATATGTAAAAGTGCAAGGATTTTTGTCAAAACAAAAAACAAAAAAAAAAACAAAAAAACAAAACAAAAAAAAACATATTGTCAAACGTTTGTCGGATTGCTTCCACTCATTTTGCCCTTAAACGTGCGGCTAATACAGATTGCGGGCGTTTCTGCGGTTCTTGCGAGCTTAAAAGCCCCTCCTCACTCTATCTCTCTCACTCTATCCACGTCACTCTGAGCAGCAAATCGATCTTCCCATAGCTTTCGGAGCTGCAAGCTCGTTCTACTTCAATATGGCCGCGCGATCCGTCATCCCGTCGCTACTAAACATTGCAACAACCACTCACACTCGCGCTTACTACCTCCTCGAGCTCAATTTCGCGCACGCACGCACAAACACAAAATTCTCCCTGTCATTGTCACACGACCCACCCTTCTCCCTCCCCCCGCCACGGCAACCATTCGTCGCTCTCTACTATTTTCCTTGCTAATTGGGTCTAGAGCACTGACATTGTTACCACGGTAACACGGCTGATGCATGGATGTGAAAATTCGACTTCACCTATATCCTAATTTTGTCAATTCGAAATAAAATGTTGCTTTTTACTTTGAAAATTAATGATTCAGAATACTCATAGTGTATACATAATTACTTTTAATATGACGTACATTGAATGGCACGTTAAAAAGGACAAAGAAGCAGAGGATCTTCCGAACATTTATAACTTTCAAGAGCTACACACATTATGTTCTCTAAATGTCGTAAAATGATATGACTCACTTTTAAGTATTCACGCGGTATGAAAATTTAAAACTCATAACCACTATGCCACATGATATTTATTTTTAATTTTGGTCGGTAAATAAGAGTAGCACGATAGAGGGATAACGATTATTTATTAAATATCGGCTTAATTGTAAATTGTTAATTGAAACGATAATAATTAATCCTCCGCCTATAAATATTACCTATCGAATTTTATTTGAATTTATTTATTAAAAAACAAAAAAACAAAAAAAACAAAAAAACAAAACAAACAAAAAAACAAAACAAAAAAAATAATCCTTTATGTAATATGCTCTTTGAAGATGAAGAAATCCATTGTTAATTTTCACAAACAGCTCGGAGTTTCTTTGCGCTTGAAAATGAAATGATAAAATGCGTGATTTATCTCTTTATTCTATACGATATCAGCGCCTTACAGTGTTGACAATACGTCGATCATTAGTGCTTTTTTAAAATGATATATCATTGTGGATGAATCGTATAGTAGTTGCGGTTCCGACTACCGTACACTTACATTTTACATATGACATGGTACAGTCGCGTGCATTTCAGGTGGAGGATAATTTTCTTGACCATTGGAAATTATATTTCATAGACGAGTTAAATATTACAATATTATTAATTTAAAATATTGAACAATGGGTGCATATTTTGAAAATATGTCTTTATTTTTTATTTATTAAGCTATGGTGAATGCACCTAAATGATTTAGGAACACCGAATAAGTAATAAATGCTTAAATAGGTGTTTCTTTTCCTTTTTGTTTTTTTTTTTGTTTTTTTTTTTGTTTTCGGTTTTTTTTTTGTTTTTTTTTTTTCGTTACAAATATTAATATTGAAAATGTTGATTAATTGGTGAACAATTTACGAACGGTGTGGATATGGAATAGAGCGAGTTTTGTTTGTAAATGACGTTTCGGGGCATTGAGAACGGTCTTGATCGGTCTTAACCATTGCCGAAGAAAAGTGTTAAAACCAAAAGCTCACCTCGAATTCCACGAGATCTCCAAATCCTAAGAACTACGAGCGCAAATGAGCAGGAAGGATCGCCGGATGATGAACGTTAAAGAAAGTTAAAAAGAAAGCGGCGGAGAAAGAGGGTGGGGAGGCGCGTAGTAAGCTTGGCAGCTGTCAATCTATTTTCGCGCCAAAAAGGCCCCGCGATGAAAGGTGGCGGCTCGAGCGCACACAGCGATGTAATTTGAGTGAACGCCACTCTCCATCCCTCCCCCGCTCGTCACTACTCCCCCTCACTCCCCCATCAATCCATCCACCCACCCAACAAGATCCCAACCAAGACCCCTCCCACCGCGAACACGTACAATCCGCGCTGCAAGCCCCTCCGCCCCCACCAGCCCCTCTGAAAAATCTATTCGCCCGTCGCCGCGTCATCCAGGAACCCCGTGTGCTCCGGGTGCCGCGTGCAAGCGGTAATCAAAGCCCACCTTGCTCTATTACTCCTTGGCGCGCTCTCCCCCGCGATACACCCAACGCGTTTTAATTATGCCACCGGCCCTCCTTTGTCTCCACCCCGCTGTCCCTCCACCCACGTCATTACGGGAATGCCATTGTCGCGCGGTGTCTCGAGAAAGCGGAGCACCGCCCCAAAAAGGTCCCGCGACGGCTTTTCATCTGTGGATACCGACACCTAATTAAGACTGCTTTTTCCATTGTGCAGGCTCGCACAATGCGCCCTCTTAGCCGTGACGTCGTCCTTCATTCGGCGCCCGACTATGAGAACCCGATGAGAGCAATTGATTATTAAGTCCGGGCAGTGCTCGGCAGCTACATTTTGTTTATATTCTTAATAACGGGAATCGGTAGATGGATCGAAGCTACGTGGAAATTTATTCGGGCTTTCCGCGAGCAGCGCCAGCTCCCCGTGTCACAACAATTGATTTTACTCGCTGCTATTATTGCCCGCGCACATCGCCCTTCCTACGCGTTCTTTTCGTGATCAAACTGGCACGCAAGGACTTTTGCCGTCGGGAATTATTACCGAGTTATCGGCCCCTTCGTCCCAATAAATTAATGAATTTAAATCTTTAAAAACATTCGCTTCGGTTATTAGTCGAAGACTCTTTGTGCGTATAAAATATTTTTCTCGTATGGCGTATTATTATGCAGCGGCTACTGGCATTGTGCAATTTTAAGAGGCCTTCCAGGTGCCCGTTTTGTCGATGTAATTAAAATGAAATTTGCTCAGGTGCAAGAAGCAAAGGCTTTGAAATGAGATGATGTATATTCGCTTTGCATCCTACTTGTCGAATGACGAGTCACTTTTAAAAAGTAGTTAAGGCTTGAGAAGGATGGGACGGGCCGCTTTTTTTCCATTCCCCCCCCCCCCATTTTTTCATTATTTTTTCCTTTTTCTCGCAGTGTAATTAATTGCGCGAAAATTTAACGATAAAGCTGTGCAACAATTCTTAATGACGCCATAATTTATCACATAAACAAATACATTAGGACGTTTCTTAATGCCCCTTGTATTCCAGATATCATCAACGTTTATGAAAATTTCACTGGAAATTCAAGAAACTTTGATTTACTCGAAGATCACTCTATCGAACGAAAGCCATCCTATTCTCAAATGATTTCGACTTATAAAGCGTTTATTTATAATTTAGTTATTTATTTTACTTTTTTTGTCTTTTCATCACGAATAATACTTTTAATATTCTCAAAGATCGATCAATGCACTGAAACTTACAAAGTTTACTTAAGTCCTACGTACACTTACGACGTGCTTGTTACGATAAATCATTTTTAAAGCATTTTTATGCAATACTTATGCCGGCGTACGACCTTCCCGATAGCTATTTATAAAGCTCGAGCACGAGGTACGAAACACGCGTACCGACATTGTCAATGTCGACTGCACTCACTCCGATACATTGGAATCCATAAACGTTATATTGGACGGAGCGATTTTTCGCCGATTAAGCCCACGGGGGCCGATGAAAAAGAAGCCTCGAGAATGATGGGCCGCGACTGATTTATGGCCACGTACGCCATGACCGAAGAATGTGAAAACAATAGTAGGGGAGTCGTAATGCACGCTGCAAACGAAATCTCATCATCTATCCCATATAGATATCATTTTAACAGAATCTATCCTCTGCGTCACGGGACACCGGCCTGCCGACGTTCGCCCTTTGGATATAATATATTTTTTTACTTACCCGCGCCTCGCGGCTTGCACATGTAGGTAGGTATGTAACAACCCCCGATGTCATGCTAAATACCCCGACGAGGACAATGGCTCGCGTACAGATATATACGTATTATATGCTTGTATATCGTTCGAAAATCTGAGCCTACTGAAGGAGAGACTCGACAAAAGGTAACCGGATACCAAAGAGCGAGAAGGAGAGCGCGAGAGTAGCAGCAGCAGCAGCAGCAGCAGCAGCAGCAGCAGCAGCAGCAGCAGCAGCAGCAGCAGCAGCAGCAGCAGCAGCAGCAGCAGCAGCAGCAGCAGCACCCCCCCCCCCCCCCCCCCCCGCCCCCATTCACAAAACCCCTCCCCCCAATCCCTCGCCCCCTCTCACAACGCCAAACTCACGCTCTCTCTCTCTCTCTCTCTTCTCTTATTTCCACCTCTTCTCTCCCCTCCCCCTGCCCACGGTCTAGCTCTATCTCTCCTCTCCCACCCTTCCTTTTTTTCTCTTCTTCTTTCTTCTTTCACTCCCCTCTCTCCCGCTCAATTTTTTTTTTCTTTTTTTTTAAAGGCTCTATGTCCCGCTCGCTCGCGTCCTAGCTCGTTTTTAATAGCTGCTAATAGAGACGTTAAAACGATACTGGCCTCTCTCTTGTGCTCTCGACTCTCCGGCCTCGATGCTCAGTTCTCTCCTTCCGCCGCTTCAACTCCTATTTCAATTCGATCTTTCGTTTTGTTTGAACTCGCTTTTTATTGTCTCGGCGGTCGCTATCTCATTCTTGTCCTTTTCTATTAAACACGGGAGGAGCATCGAGCCTTTCGTCCCGCGCGTATCCTCCTGCTCGCTGCTCCGCATAAGTGTTTTATGTGGTGGAGCACCGGGCTGCACGAGTGTACGTGCGTGCGTGTAGCAAAAAGTGGCTGCTACGTCTCTTTTGACCTACGGTTCGATGATCTCGAACAACTGCGGTTTAAACAGCCATTCCTCCAATCCCCCACCCCCCTTTTAATTGAAATGACAATAATGCGGCTCGTAGAGTAATATTTAATTCGTCAAAAATGATTTTCAAAATCGCCTTTCGACACACTGACTTTTTCATTCGTTAAGTGTGCCCGTGGGCACCGAATTAACGACTCGTTTGTTTCATTCGTTTATTCAGCGCTTTCCCCGAGCCGTAAAAATCCGCGTTTAAATGCTAAGCTTACGCGAATCGCTTATGGCTCCTCGCATATCCAATGATTATTCGGCAGTCCACGTAGTTTTTATTTGTATTTGTCGTCCCCCCCCCCCACCCAACGCACACTATGACCCAATCTAACTCTACCACTTCAAAGACAATGTTGGGATGGAAAAAGGATAAGACGATTCGTGAAATTAGCTTTACTGGTTAGTAATAGCTCATCGAGACTAGGAAACAAAAGGTGTGTTAGATTTTTTGATGGGAAACTCCCATCACCATCTAAATGTCCAATATTGAAGAACTTTGGTTACGTAATGGTGTGCGAACGAACGTACCAGCCGAATCCAAAGTACATACTCGTAGCACAAGACACGTAAAGTACGCATGAACAGTCCGTCGCTCGCTATAATACGAGGATTCGGACTCGTAAGGCGCACGAAAATACGGTAACTCCTTCGACTCCTGAGCCTCTTATCACGATCCAAGCGACACATCCTACATCACCATCGTTATTATACATGCACAGCGCAAAACTCCTTGCGAATATCTATACGCGGATTGACGAGGGTAGGCTACTTTTACAACAAAAGTACGCCGTACGTATGCAGGCGCGAGCAATACATTAGAGCGAGCGAGGAGTCTAAAACAATGAGGGTAGGTGGGAGTTGAGTAGGTGGGATGATGGTGGTGGTGGAGGAGAAGACAGACGGACAAAGCGAGGCATGTAGACTCGAGCTGCATTAAAACGCCGAGTGAGTAGCGAACGCACCGACAGGTAGCCCATGATTTGCAACATTCTAACCTGGCGTCGCGCGTCGGGAAGTACCTCTTCCTTCGTCATTTTTTCCTCCTTTCGCATTCGACGTTTATCTTTTTCCTTTTCCGTGCCGGTACAATATGACGTCGCGAAAGGTAAAGCAGCCACGATGGTTGACAAACGATCCTCCTCGCTCTCGTTTAATCGGTGCCCGCGTCATTCGAACTTTCGAAGACGCCTTTTGCTACGCTCAAGGCTTTCCTAGTGGACGAGTCAATGCGTGTCACTCAAATTATGGCTCTCCTGGCCCGGAACAAGAGTGGCGTGAAGGTTGTTTGGTGACTTTAAAACTTTGAGAGATATTTATTTCGTTGCCAACAGTTTTCGTTCTCCAGCGGACGCGCGCACGCACGCATGGACACACACGCACGCACTAGCCGATGTAGCTCATCGGACATAAAATGTCTTTGAATTGCTATAGCGAGTTGCTTTTTGATCGATAAAGCGCGAAAATGTTTCCGAAAAAAAAAAAAAAAAAAAAAAAAAAAAAAAAAAAAAAAAAAAATTGTTTGCTACCATGAAACATTGACAGGAATTTCACCAACACACGTCCAAAGACACACAACTGCAAAGAGAAATATTTAAAAGCGAATATTTTATAACTCCTCGTCTCTCCACTGTCTCTCGTGTTATTATTTCCTTCTCGTTTTCTTGTTTTACTTAGTCCCGCATCTAATGTGTTCAGCGCGGACATACGGGGCGACGGTCCTGTGGGAAGAAAGCGGACAAATGTTTGTCCAAGAACAAAAGGCGAGTGTCGGCTGACGTTGCGCGCTTACACTCCTTGTTTTTCGGATCTCTGAATTTCGATAGGTTTGTAGGGATATTTTAAAAGAGACAAGGCTACCACCGTCTTCTGCGAAAGCGAAAGATATCGGTGAAGAATAACCCCGACCTCAGCCAAAAGAAGAAATGTGCGCGCGCCTTTCTTTTGCCTTGCCATGCGCATGACATTGGAAAACATTTCCAATTTCAGCCTTTGAGAATACTACGGAGGGTCGAAGAATATTTTTAATTGTATGCAAACGGATTGTCCAAGATACCGTTAAGTCTTTAAATTCGTATTGGCTGTTGCTATTTCGAAAATATGGGCTACCGGTCGCCCACGAGCTCGAGTGTACTTAATATTTCGAGATGCACGAGCTGTTGACACTGTCCTCTAAAATAATGATTTAATATTGAGATTACAAACGCTTAGACGTAGTAATAATTTTGAATAACGTATTTCAAATTTATTTTCAATTGGGAATTAGCTGTCGGTTAATTAGCATCCGTACGATTTTGTGATTAATGATAGGCATATTCGAGTGGCCAAACAATGGTAAGTATCTTGACGACGGGCAAATATTTTTCTACAACCGTATAGACTTTTCGAGTGTTTGTACTCAAAAAAAAAAAAAAAAAAAAAAAAAAAAAAAAAAAAAAAAAAAAAAAAAAAAAAAAAATAAAACATATATATATATACACTATTCAGTTAGGTTTTTGGCCTCCGTGGGAAGCAAGTCAAAAATAAAATTCTTTCTTTCTTGTCCACAAAGAGCCTTTCCACATACAAGAGGATAGTGAAATTAATAGACTTTTCTTCTTGCAAGATTACATACTCAAGATTCGAAAATGTTGATCAAAGACTTAAACAACGTTACCAACTATTATAATGAAACTTTAACATGAAAACACACTTTATTTATATTCTGTGTAAATATCACGAAAATGGTTAATTTTTAATTATTATAACTATTTGCTAATAATCGTTGCTTGCCTAATATTTAATTGATATTTGTCTGGCTTTTTTCATCTTAGGTACCCTACCTCGGTAATTTAGTATTATCAGATTTGAAAAATTTTCATAGTAAATTACTAAAAATTAAAAGCAGAAAATAAAACAATAACGTGCGAATTTTTTTAGCTTCGATAAAACGCAGTTGCATTGTAGAAGGATAGAAATAAAAAATAAAAAATAACAAATAAAATTACAGGTAATGTTATATCGTTATATACTATATGTTAGCGGTGGATTTGAAATGAATATTATCTACTTCATTGTACACAATAATGCGTAAAATTAAAGAAATAATTTTAAAATGACTTTAAAATGACATTTTTCATGATTCGTATTGAAAATTTATTTTAATGTTTCGAATAGTTTTAAATAAAAAGAAGTCAGTGTGAAGAATAGAACTGAAATACAATGTTTAGTTGCATACTATTCTCCCGCGCATTCTCACTCTCTCTCTCTCTCTCTCTCTCTCTCTCTCTCTCTCTCTTTCTTTATTTCTTCACACTCCTCTCGCGCGCGCTCTCTCTCTCTCTCTCTCTCTCTCTCTCTCTCTCTCTCTCTCTCTCTCTTACTCTTCTACCGTACAAAGACAACAAAGAAATGACCTTTATTGTTTTCTGTAATTTAAAAGAAAGAGCATATAACAAATACGTTTTTACGAAGTGGCTTTGTTTTAAAATAACGGTACTGGTAACAAGGAGCAGCGACAGATAAATTAAATCCTTGCTCGTTGTGAAGCGGACCAGCTTGCGAGTTGTACATGGAAAAGACAACGAAACATTGCGAACGAGCTAATCCCGTTTCAGTCTTCCCGAAGCACAAGCCTCGGATCGCCACACGGTCCGGAAAATTACCAGTTCTCCTCCTCTTGTATTCTCGCCAACGCACGGCGCCCAGCTCTCTTGCTCAATCCTCCGCTACTCACGCAAACGCACGCACGCTCACTCTCTCTCTCTCTCTCTCTCTCTCTCTCTCTCTCTCGCACTCTGTCTCCCGCACTCAATGCAGCTCTTCGCAAGGGAGAGTAGCGCCGCTTCCGCCCGTGTCTGGGGTGCGTTGTTCTTAGCAGTCGAGCGAAATAAACGCGGTCGGGATAATGAAATTTTGGAGGCCATCTCACAAAACTAATGATACGAAAATTCGATAAGCGATCGCGCGCCCGTGTTTCACTATTAGTGGGTTGCTTACGAATATTGACCGAGCGGGCGTTAAACGTGCACTCCACGCTCCCCTTTTATGTTTCGAAACAGTTGTGCGTTCATTGCAATAATGAAAAGAGATAGTAGGAAGTGCACGTATTAAAGTAGGATGCAGGAAATCTATTCTACTATACGCGAGCCAAGTTGGACGAATAGCCAATGTAAAGTATTTTGGAAGCATATGGAGAGTGTATTCGTCGGCAGTGAAAAATTATCTTTGTAATATCGAATTCTCTTTGTCGAAAATTCCCTCACATTCCACGTGTATTCATGGAAATTCGTGCGTTTGCATCCGTACTGCCAAGTTTTTCTCCAAAACAAAGATTCCATATTCTTATCTCGATTTCGATATGTTCAATATTGCACAGCGATACTTAAACGCGCTAACCTTAAAGAGAGATGAAAAAAAAAGAAAGAAACAAGGAGAGAAGAAATAAAAAAACTTAAAAATGCCTATTAATTTTCTAATGTTAAATTGCTTATTATTTTATAAAAATTAACAGGAACCTCGTAGGATTTCATTATCATTGTGATATAGAGGGACGCTGAAGATGTGATCTTTAAATGAAATAACAAGCAATTAAAAGTCTCTGTAAAGTAAGTTGTCGTAAAAAGGATTCTCCTATGCGTAACAGAAAAGTGCGCATCTTTAAAGAGCATCGCGGCACCCTGAATTTGGCGCTTAAAAAAACGCGAGTCGAAAGCTCTTGTAGTTTGAGTAGAGGATCGGAAGGGTGGATGGGGCTGGCTGATGGTCCTTAATGGAGCCTTTACGCTCCTTACGTACGTCCTTAGTTGGCAACCCCGTCGCTAGCGAGTGAAAATCACTCGGTAAATAATTAATGCGTAATCGGAGTCCGTTTGCGCACTCGCACGTAGTAGGATCGACGCCGCTGCCACCGCCGCCATCGTCGCCGCCGCCACTCTCGTCTCTTTCTAATGGCCGCGAAATTGCGCAAGTGGGGCCGAGGGGGTGGGCCTGAACGATTGGGTAGCGCGTGTGAGCGACGGCGAGAGATAAATAAGTTGTCGTAGAAGAATGTTTGCTAGCAAACAGCGTTGAAGAGGCTCTCGACGCGTCCCGTTCCTTCGTACGAGTTTCCGCGTGCGTGGGCTGCCCTCCACCTCCTTCTTCTAACGCTGTACTTTCACGCGGAGTCGTCTGGTAAATTGACCCGTCGTGAGAGACGGCGAGGAGCACTAAGCGAGCACTGCGTCCTAATCCTACGCGTCAGACACGTGGATAGCCAATAGCATCTATTGGCGCTGGGGCACATTTGCGTCTCGTAAAGAGACGTTTCGCGATCTAATTTTGACGATGAGGTGCTTCGGGAGCCGCTTTCGTGGACCTCGAGCCTAGCCATTTTATTTTCGCTGACGAGAGTGTTATTCGGATATTTTTAAAAGCGGAGATTCAATCATTGGGCATAGCGCTTACAATGTGCTTGATGTTCCGTTGTGTCGGTGGGCGGTGTGTGAGAGGGGGGGGGGCGGAGAGACCTAGGGGCGCTGAAGACGAAGGGTGAATAGATAATAGCGACATTTGTTTTTATCATTGCTAATGTACGATTCGTGATGCGATTGCGCAAGACTCGAGCCTTATAACATTAATAAATATGAGAAGGGATTTAATGTTAATGTGGCAGGTTTGGGCGATGATGGGAAAATGCACGGGGCTCGAAGGGTATTAGGTACGCGTTGGTCGCAAGGTAAAGCAAATCGCTCGCTACTCAAGCCGAATTATGCCGAGGGACGTGTGCGTGGATTTTATCAATTCCTAGAGCTCGGCCGAGGACCGCCGAGGCACAACGGCAAAAAGCCAATCGACTCAAGGCTATAAAATTACGAATATCGCTTTTGCCGCGATTTCGTTTCGAAGCGGCGGCCCCAATCATGATCCACCTCATCCCCCGAAACACTCTCGAATCCGGCCTTAGCGCACCCGTGCCTCGTGCCCTACAACAATCCGCAAAGCAATTATCGAAGATGAAGGAAAATTTCAATGGCATCACGATTGGGGAGAGGACACGGACGTCGCGCCGTCGCGT